AGACAGAGCATGAGCAGGGCAGGGGCAGCGAGAAAGAAAGAGAGAGAGAGAGAGAGAGAGGGAGAGAGAATCTGAAGCAGGCTCCAGGCTCTAAGCTGTCAGCACAGAACCCAACATAGGGCTCCAACTCACACACCATGAGATCATGACCTGAGTCGGACACTTACCTGGGCCACCAAGGTGCTCCTGACATCTTATTTCTGCTAACACTTCCCAGGTGATTCGAATGTGCAGCCTTTTGATGAGAACCACCAAGGCCTCCGCCAAAGCTTTGTGACTGTAAATGTCCCACAGGTGACAGTTTGGGGAGTGTAAAGAGGAAAAGCCAAAATTTAATTAAGCAACTACTGAAAATGGCTAACCTTCTGTAGGAACCATTTGTAAGCCTGTCCCTCCTTCTGATCTTTGATCACAGTCAGCAGTCAAATGGTGCATGCTTTTCTCTTAACCAAAAGACCTCTTTTGAAGACAAAAGGCAAGATTCGTGTAACTCCAACACTGTGTCGGCACACTATTCACGCCTGAGCCTGCTTTGGGATGAAGAGGGGAGCGTTCCTCCCTTCACAGAGGACAGCACCAGGGACCCTGGGACGTGGGCCTTCCACAGCCAAGATGGTGGCCGCACACTCCGCAGTGGGAGGGGCAGAAGCGCGGTCACACCGCCTGCTCTCGCATCCCGGTTCCACCCCTTCCTAGCGGTCTGACTTTCGGGAAGTTGGCGAACCTCTCTCTATGTGTCAGTTTCCTTATCCGTCAAATACGGACAATATTTCCAGCTTCACAGTACTGCTGTGCGGGTTACAGGATTTACCATAGAGAAGAAAGCTCTTAAAACGGTGTCTGGCACAGAGTAAGTGCTAAATAAACATTAGGGACAGCTAGATGACATGGTCTTTGAGTTTACGTCCTTGTCTCTTGCCATAACTGGTGCCAAGGGTGTTTTCATGCGCCTGCAGTTGCGCGAGAGAATGGCCATGGGGCGCCCAGAACCAGAACTTAGGCCTGGTAGAGCCAGGCGGGGTTGTAGCAGGGCCTGGTGGATAAACGTCCACTATTCTCAGCAAGGGCACCGCTCTCCAGTGCCGATTGTTGGCTTTTCGATCGGTGCGGCAGGACCGACTGACGCTCCGGGCCTAGCATCTGTGGTGCTCGCTCATGCTCGGGGATCACCCTGCCTCCCTCAGCGGACTGGCTAGTCCTTCCCACGGCTTGGCCAGACAGAAGGGCCGGACCCCCACTCTCTGGAAGCTGCTGTGTCAGGTCTATACTAGCACAGAGGAGCAATTCTGCGCGCTGCCATTTCTCACAAGCACTTTGAAATGGGGCCTCTCATGGCTCTTACAAAGTGGGCTCTGCCGGAGGATGGCCCAACGTGTCCAGTCCCCAGAGCACAGTGGCGGATCTAGTGAGGCACAGGAGGGCCCGGCAGGCTAAACCATGTCCTGCTGGGAGGAGGGCAGTAGGAGAATCTGCTTGCGGGTCTGCAGGAGAGGCATCGCCTAAAACGTCACCTGGGGGCCTGACCAGGGTGACGGTGACAGAAGGCACCCACCAGCAACGACAGAACGGAAAGTTCATTTATAAGATCCTCACCAAGTCCTTCCTTCAAAGCAATGGAGTCTCGAGCCTTTATCCTGAGCTATGAAGTCCGAGCCAGCGTGGGAAGCAACACACTTTTCCAGAGTGGTCTGAACCCTGCTTCGCTGCTGTTGTGCCAGGGACCCTTCCCCAGCTGAGGGGTCACGGAGGACATGAAGAGCAAGTGAACTAGTGACTGTCCTCACAGGGGGCTGGCCCGACCGATGCTCTGTCCTTTCAGGGTCCTGGCCGGGCCAGCACTATTCAGCCGCGCTTGGACATCGTCGTCAACCCACGGCTCCCTAAGGACAGCAGCACGTGCCGTGTGGCTCTAACAGCGGCCTCTTACATGGATTCTACCTTCTTTTCCCGAAGGGCACACCCACACCACAACACAGGTACGACGCGCCCGGCTTCCCAGAGAACGAACACCAGGCCCGCGGAGGCGGCCAAGGCAACGGGGCAGGTGGGTGGGGGCGGGAGGGGGTGGAGCTGGGATCTGCATCCGAACCTGCTCCTCGCTGCGCCCCCCCCACCCGCCGCCGCCCAGCTGGACGCCTTCATCCCTGTATTGCTGTGGGGATGAGATTTCTTTTTTTTTTTTTTTATTTTAAACAAAAAGTTATGTTTTTCCTTTATAGGTTTTGGTAGAGACCACTGGGTTCTGACCTGTTATTCTATCTGGAAGTGTCTGCTGAGTCTTTACTCTGGTTTCTAGACACCCTCAGGATAAATACCCTTAACTTGGGTGTTCCTGGCAGAGTGTGTCCACTGTTTCAGGAATGACATCTTCGGTCTTTCAGATCCTCTTTCAAAGCCTGGTTCCTCCGAGGATGATCAAGGAGCCGTTCTTTCCATTGCGAGCAGCTTGGGACGCCGATAGCCGCCCCCCCCCCCCCCCCCCCCCCCCCCCCCAGGGTCCCGCAACACCCTGTGCCCCTTGCAGAGCTACACCAGAGGGGGCGCTGGCTGGGCAGGGACAGGCTGCACTCCCTTCTCCCTCCCACATGGCAAAGGGTTACCACAGGCCTGTGGCACGCCACTATTCGTTCTTGCTCTAATCAGAAGCTGCCATTTTATTATTTTTTAAAGTTTATTTATTTTGAGAGAGAGAAAGAACATGCGTGCCCGTGCATACACACACACACACACATGAGTGGGGGACGGGCAGAGAGAGGGAGGGAGGGAAGGAGTAAGGGGGGGAGACAGAGGGAGAGAGGGAGAGAGAGAGAGAGAGAGAGAGAGAGAGAGAGAGAGAGACACTCTGCCCTGTCTGTGTGGAGATGGATGTGGTGCTCGAACTCCAACTGTGAGATCATGACCTCAGCCAAAATCAAGAGTCAGACACTTAACCAACGGAGGCACCAGGGACCCCAGTTTTTGTCATTTTAAAAGTGAACCAACAGGGGCACCCGGGTGGCTCAGTCGGTTAAGCGTCCGACTTCAGCTCAGGTCAAGATTTCACGGTTCATGAGCTCAAGCCCCGCGTCAGGCCCTGTGCTGACAGCTCAGAGCCTGGAGCCTGCTTCAGATTCTGTGTCCCTCCCTCTCTGCCCTCCCCTGCTCACCTCTTGTCAGTCTCTCTCTCAAAAATAAATGCACATGGGGCACCTGGGTGGCTTAGTTGGTTAAGCGTCCGACTTTCGCTTATGTCATGATCTTGCGGTTTGTGGGTTTGAGCCCCGCGTCGGGCTCTGTGCTGACTGCCGGCTCAGAGCCTGGAGCCTGTTTCAGTCTGTGACTCCCTCTCTCTGACCCTCCCCTGCTCACACTGTCTCTCTCTCTCCTAGAAATAAATAAAACATTAAAAAAAAGAAAAGAAAAGAAAAATAAATGCACATTAAAAATTAAAAAAAAAAAAAGTAAACCAACAAGGAGTACCTAAAATAGTCAGATTCGTACAGAGAGCAGGTTGGTAACTGCCAGGGGCTGTGAGGAGGGGAGAACGGGGAGCTAGCATTCATGAGGCATAGAGTTTCAGTTACACAAGATAAGTTCTAGACATCTGCTGAGCAATAGGGAGCCTGCAGTTAACATTACCACATCGGACACTTAGAAATTTGTTAAGGTAGATTTCGTCTTAACTGTTCTTACACATGTGCAACAAAAAGTCAACTTGAAAATAATAAGAACACTCACAGGTGTCCCTTAAAAATCAGTTGAAAAAAAAACTACTGATATTCTATTTCTTTACTTACATAGAGTAAAACATATAAATATGTTGAAGAGAAGTGTTCTTTCTATCTATATAAATACACATTTGGGAATACACAATCTATACTGTAGTACAAGGTCAGCTAATTGCTTCTTTGTTGATAGATACATAAAAATGTTCCAGGTGCTGAAAAATAATTTTCTCTTTTCACTCTTTAATGCCACAGAGTACCATAAAAAGTACATGCATAGGCCATTATAAATAGTACTCATGACTTGTGATAATGGTAACTATGTGCGTTAATGGATATTTTAATTAGTTTCATTGTGGTAGTTCTTTCACAATGTACATGTATATCAAGACAGTGAGTTGTAGACTTAAACTATATAGAATTTCTGTTTGTCTATTACCTCAATAATGAGAAGAAGAAAAAAGAAATCATGTCCAAAGTGCTCAGTATCAACCTGGTATACTCAAGAAATGGTAATCATTCCTGTAAAACAAAACACCCCTGAGCACTGACAGTTAAGCTTTTTCTTCAGAATTTCAGAATTCAGAATATCATTGCCTTTTTGAGGTCTGCATGTATACTCTTGTCAAAACACACAAATCCTGAAGATCCTCTTTTCAAGAAAGGGAACAAAAATGATTCTAAGCATATTAAAGTAGAGCCTTGGAATGCTGACATTTCCAAAAGCCAAAGGCGTATGCCAGGCATTCAAGAAGCCAAGATTTCTGTGGAACATACTCTTGGAAGTGCGGGAAGGTACATAGTACTAGGCGGATGGAAAAGAGAAGGCTTTCCAATGATAGTTACAGAATGAGTTCATCGGGGTTTAAGAGATAGGGATGAAATTTCATCGGTAAACATCTCTCTCAATGTTATACCTGGTTTCTCAGACACCATTTTTAAAAATCAATTGCTTCTCAATTATTCTTAAAAACATCAGACTCGGAAGGCAGCGCTAGGTGGGGTGCCTGGGCGTGGCAGCGCTGGGAGAACCGGTACTGTTATTTCCATTCTGAAACCTCCAGTTAAGCAAACCAAAGCATGCAGAGCATAAGGATCAAGGGTGAAGGCGCCCACAGCCCACCTCCTACAAATCAATTCATTCGTGGAAATTCCCCCACAATAATGATCAGAAAAGGGCTCTCCCCACTGCCCAGCCTCAGCTCCAACCCGTACTTATGCAGGCTGGGAGGTAAGGCGGCCATGAGCATGCACCAAACAAGCAGCCCTTGAGGGCGAGGGGAAGCGGCCACTCACCTCTGCAATCTTCAGCACTGCGCTCCCATTCAGGTCAAAGGTCGGGGTATAGGTTATGCAGAGTAAAACCTTTAGCCACCAGGAGGTGAAGGAGGAAGGGAGAAGGGGTTAAAAATTCAGAAATAAACAGAAATACGGTTTCATGTATCATTTGTACAGCTCTGCTGCTTTGCAACTTCTTTGCTCTTTGCTTTATCTGATGTTCCTTCCCATGCCCACATTGCCCAATAAAACAGAGACTAAAACTGTAAAAAGTAAAGGCAGAAACCCTCTCCTCACAGGGAAGGGCCACTGCAAGACTGGCCAGAAACCGCATTCCTCAGCAATTCCAGGAGGGCTGTCCAATAAAAGCAGGCTCAGTGCTGGGCACAGTGTGCAAATTATCGAGGTTGATACTTAAAAAGAAATTTTTCTTACATTTATTTATTTTTGAGAGACAGAGACACAGCACGAGTGGGGGAGGGGCAGAGAGAGAGGGAGTCACAGAATCTGAAGCAGGCTCCAGGCTCTGAGCTGTCAGCACAGAGCCCAACACAGGGCTCAAACCCACAAACTGTGAGATCATGACCTGAGCCAAAGTCGGGTGCCTAACCAACTGAGCCACCCAAGTGCCCCTACGTTGATACTTTTTAAAAACACATTTATTTATCTGTTTATTTATTTATAACAAGCAGGGGAGGGGCAGAGAGAGAGAGAGGGAGAGAAAGAATTGCAAGCGGGCTCCATGCTCAGCCCAATGAGGGGCTAGATCTCATGACCAAGAGATCATCACCTGAGAGGAAATCAAGAGTTGGATGCTCAACTGATTAAGCCATCCAGGCACCAACTGCTTCTTCTTTTTTTTTTTTTTTAAGTTTATTTATTTTGACAGAGAGAGAGAGAGAGAGAGAATGAATGTGTGTGTGTGTGTGCACGTGCGCACATGTGCCCATGAGCGGGAAAAGGGCAGAGAGAGAGAGGGAGACAGAGAATCCCACGAAGGCAAGCAGGCTCCCCCTGTTAGCATGGATACGGATGTGGGGCTCGAACTCATGAACCATGAGACCATGACCTAACACGAAATCAAGAGTCGGACGCTTACCCAACTGAGCCACTCAAACACCCCTAGGTTGATACTTTTAATAAGCATGATGATTATTACCCTTATATCCCTGATATGGAAACCGATGCTTAGAAAGATTAAATAAGCCGCCCAAGACCATACAAGTAACAAGTTGCACAGTTGAAATTTGAACCCGAGTAATTGGACTCTATGTCCTGAACCACCATGTAATCTGTCTGGTCCTCCCAGACCAGACCTCATTGTCTTTTTCTGTTCTTGTCCCCTTCCCATATCCACAGGGGATTAGAAATTCTTTACCGGCACTTTCCTCTTCCCTCCTAAAACTTCCCCCCAGATGCTGCCCACAGTTACTTCTTTATTAGTCTCAGGTTACCCTTACTCTACAAGATATATTCACAGGGAGTTGCTGACATTTGTAAGATCTTCAACGACCATTAAAAAAAATTCACTTTCTACTTGCAGAGCTATCAGATAACAGATTGATAAAAGCCTGTGGCATTTTAAAAATCACTTCTAATTTTGTAGATAAGAGGCCAGACTCTCCGCGTCCTTTGGCTTCTGACACTGTGACTTTCTTCCAGGATAGCCTGAGACACAACAGTGCTGATATCTGCCCCTCTATCTGGAACCCAACACCCGCCTGCAGCTCAGCAGGCAGTGGGGATTGCCTGAGGGTGTTTCTCACCCGGTTCTGCGGGTTCTGTGCAATTCATGAAAGAACGCTGAAGCCTCCCAAATTTACCTAATGCAAGATTTGTCCCTAATCAGCACGCCAAAAAGTGCAATTGCAGGATGAGATAAGGAAGCTCTCCTAATCCCTCGGTCCTCCTTACTGGCCCGGCCACCCTACGAATAGCTGCTCCTCCAAAGAAAGCAAATATGTACGTGGTTAAAGAAGGAAAGGGGGACTTTAGCCCATTTTAGTCACCAGGTTAGATATGTTCATTGTGGGTCTGTTCCTTAGTCTTTTGATCCTTAAGGTGCCTGATACACAAGAGTCAACACTCCATATAAAAATCATCTCACACCAGGCAGGCTGACAGGGAGAGACTGTGGCAGCAGCTGCCCTCAGGCCTACTGGGAAAAGGCTTTCTTCTGTCCAGTGACCATCTTTGGGGTTGGGGTTGGTAGACAAGTAGTGAAAGCCGAGGACAGCAGTGTCACCATGACATAAATTAGCTGGTGTGGAGGCCACATCTTCTAATGCTGCTGTACTTGGTGGTACCTTTGCCCAAAACCCTCCTGTGCTTGTTCCTCATGTGGCTTGTCTGATTGGCTTCTTTCAGGTCTCCACATAAATGTAAACCCCTCAGAGAGGCACGTGGCCTCCTCGGACCACCCTCTCTAAAATGGCTGGTCAACGCTCCTCATTTCAGGACTTTAGAGCAGATACCAGTCTCACAAACAACTGGCTTGTTTACTTATTTATAATCTTTCCATTAGATTATAACATTCATTGGGCATCTGAAAGGCTCTCAAGGCTTTCTCATCGGATGCTCTCTTACTTTGAGTTTTTGCTACCTCACACAGTTTCCCTTTCTTGGCTCCGTTCCCCCACCTCCCCACCATGATTCATGGCAGGTGGGTGGGAGGTTATGAGAGACTGTCTGGTGGAGGTGGTGGTCTGTGGAGATGGGAGGTGACTTGTCCATCTGGGCTCTTGGTTTTTTAAGTATTTACAATAAAGACTGGCAACGGGCAGTGCTTTACGAAAGTAATAATGGCAAATGCTTGTCTAAACTAGTTAATTATTAATGTTACTTATAAGACTGGTGCCCGGCTTTCTGCCTTTCATTACTCTGTTCATTCACACAAGGTACACAAGAGTAGATTAGGAAAGAAGTTTTCAAAAATCAACCCATGTTTCTGTGAGCAAGAGACACTTTCTGGCAGAAGGGGCTGGCAGAGTGGGAGCCATACCCATAGGGACGTCTTCATGAAGGGTGTTGAGTTGGTGGCATTTATTAATAAAGATTCTCTGGGGACCAGAGGAGTGTCGACTCCCTCTGCCATAGCATAGCCAGTCTGAAGGAAGTTCAGAATCCCCGCACCCAGCCAATGCTGATAGAGATCAAAAGATCTTGGAAAAAAAGGCTCCTCACACGTCATGTCTGGCCATTAAGATCCAAAGACTCACTGAGCTAACTGCAAAAACTAAACACAACTGAAAATAACGAAAGGGAAGTGAAGGGCATTTCCAAAGCCAGCTCCTCAAGCTCACGTACGGTTTGTTGTGCTGAAAGCACAGCAGGTTTTAATTACAGGGAGGGCAGTGCCCATGGCCCCCTGGGACTTGCACATGTACAGCAGCCACGGTGTCCAGCAAGGATGAGGCGCTAGACAGAAGTGACTTACCAACACCATCAGTGGAGAAATGGTTAATGTGCCCAATGCCTAGCAAGCATCAGTTCACTGGATTGAAACGCAGGTTGGATGTAGGGAATTTAGGGGGCAGCCAATAAATGTAAAGCATGATGAGAGGGCAGAAAATTCAGAGGCACATTCTGAGCACACTGGCCTCTGGGGAAACAGGAACAACTAAACACTGAGGGCAATTCCATTAAAAATGCATCCCTCATGGGGGCATTAAAGCATATTGACTACATCATCACTGAACGGTAGTAACTTGAGTGATCGGTGGCATCCTGGAATCCAGGTTGCCGGCCCGGCCTCCGTAAATGAGCTATGAGGATAGGAAAGCAGGCACAAAGTCTTCCATGAAAAGGGAATAATCATTACAGCGACTAATAAAAAAAATCCCAATCATTAAAAAACAATAATCTAATAGCTACTATGTATAAAAAGCAACTCTTCAATTTAAAATGTATATACAAAACTTTGGATAAAAGATGATTGGACCAGAAAGGAGAAAGTGAAACTGATTTACTGTAAGAACTGGGCATAAATGACAATAATCTGGAAAACGTGGTCACCTTGGGAACAGAGGGGGACAGATATGAACTGATAATGATGATGAGCATGAGATCAGAGGAATGTTCTTCTGATCATGAATACCCTGGATTAACCCTCTCCCAAGGGCTTCTCATGGCCATGACTGGGCTTTCTCCCTCAGGCAGACCTGGACCTGTGACCGTGTCATGACAGAGCAGGTGCTGTGATATCAGAGCTAAAACACTAGTGTTTTGGGGCGCCTGGGTGGCTCAGTCAGCTAAGCGTCCGACTTCAGCTCAGGTCATGATCTCACGGTTCGTGGGTTCGAGCCCCTTGTCGGGCTCTGTGCTGACAGCTCAGAGCCTGGAGCCTGCTTCAGATTCTGTGTCTCCCTCTCTCTCTGACCCTCCCCTGTTCACACTGTCTGTCTCTCTCTCCCAGAAATAAAACATTAAAAAAATAATTAAAAAAAACACTAGTGTTTTAGTGACACCCCTGTGGCATGTGATTCAATGCCTAACTGCTGTGTGACGACATTTCCTATCTCCTTATCTGTAAAATCTGACACCCCCCCACCTCACAGGGATATTTAGAGGAGCAAATACACTAAATAATGGTGTAAAACAAGAGTACATATGGTGCGCATATATCCAGGGCTGTCTTCTCACAGGGGTTAAACAAGTCTCCATTTGATGTAACTCATGGTGGCCATTTTAACATAAACAATTGGGTGCATTTTCAGTTAAAAAAGTCAATCAGAGTATTCATGTTCAAAAGCAGAAATCTCTTGGAATCTGCATTCTACTATCTTTTTAGGGTAGTTTTATTTTGGTTTATTTATTTTGAGAGAGTGCACACACATGCATGTATAAGCAGGGGGAGTGGCAGAGAACCAGAAAAAGAGAAAGAGGGGGGAAAGAGAGAGAAAGAGAGAGAGAGAGAGAGAGAGAGAGAAAGAGAGAGAGAATCCCAAACAGGCTTCTAGCTGTCAGTGTGAGTCCTAGGCAGGGCTTGAACTTACAAACCTTGAGATAATGACCTGAGCTGAAATCAAGAGTCAGGTACTTAACCCAATGAGTCACCCAGGCACCCCTAAATTCTAGTATTTATTACA